TACCCACTGTATAATTCAAAGACAGGATGCCTTAACACTGCCTTCAGTAAGATGGCAGTAAGCATGACATCGAACCTAAAACTCCACTGTGCTCCCTATTCGTCTTGATCTCTCAGGTGTTTCTGTCAGCCGTGTATGTGAGAAAAGAACACTGAAAAACGAGTCATTATCTCGCCTCCTGATGCTTCCATGCTGAGATCTGTAAAAAAAATCACTCACCCCAATCGCCCATCTGTGATATTCCCCCTTTATTTGCTTCTTTAAAAAGGCTTTCTCCTGTAATTATGAGAGTCTGATTTTGATTTAAAAATATGTCCACATATCACAGTTTTGCTGTAAAAAAGATGCATTATTTCACAGTTTAAGACGTCAAAAGTGTCAAAAACATCTACTGCCATTCAGGGCACATGACAATATTACAGTCAGACCTTGGAGGTGGCTGTGGCTCATGAGGTAGGGCAGTTGTTTCCTGACCAGCAAGTTGGTGGTTTGACTCCCAGTCTCCCCACATGCCTAAGTGTTCCTGAGCAAGACACTGAAATTGCTCCCAGTGGCTTGACCAGCGCTGTTACGCAGCAGCCTGTCATCATCTGTGTGTGAATGGTGTATGATCTCCTGTAAAGCACTTTGGCCAGTGCAACACACTGTGAGAAAAAGCACTATATAAATACAATCCATTTACCTTGGACAGACTCCTATAATTTCACATTGTGTTGCTTATTTTCTTCTGCTGAGGGATTTAGAGTTTTCTGAGCTGTTTGCCATGCCTATGTTGAAATAAATAGACTGTCATGGCCTATCTTAAATGAAGCATTTGCCTGGCAGATTTTTTTTAAACTGCATCTTATAATAATTCAGTCATTCACTATTTTTCCATACAAAGAGAAAGACAAAAATAACAAATGGACAGAAGTGGGAAAACTAGAATGTGAAATAAATGTAGTTATTAGAAGAATTTCATTAGCAGCTGATTTAGGTTTGAGTGTAATCCCCTGAAAAGGGATTTTTTTAGACTGATTTTGTGGAGAATAGCCTTTTCATTTTGATTTATCCTTTGTAAACTGTTCCCATACACCATATATTCTATTATATTCCTATATATTTTTTTATTATATTGCTGCATCTGTTGCTGCTTAAAGTGCCTTAGATTTTGTGTTATTTATCTACTTTAAATTTCATTTGTATTTTGTGGCATTCATGTGGACAAGAATTTCATTGTACAGGGAAACACGTTTCCTAACTGTGCATATGACAAACACTTTGAACTAAACAAAACATGGAAGGAAAAGCACACAATGCAAGATGAAGTTATAAAAGATTATTTACAAGAAAACAGAGGCAGTTCCAACTTCACAAGAAAAGGTAAACAGGTATAGCAGGGAGCAGGAGTTGAGGTCATATTGGAGGCAAATTTCTAGCACAGCGCATCACCAAGGGCAGTCAGTTCGATCATTTTTAGTGGTGCTGTTGTCTTTGTGTGAAAGCCCTTCTCAAATATGTCCCATACATAAGCCCCAGTGCTCTGCCAGCATAATCGCATGGGATTTCTATCACACAGGTGCCATTGCTTATTTATCTTTCCCTCAGTGAGCAACGCTAACACCAGCTAAGTATCTGTCACTACAAGCTAACAGAGCTTTGAGTTCATTGTCCCTGGTCCTACAACATCCATCCCCCTCATGGTCTTCCAGCACTTCCAGTGTTCTGAGCTCCAGTGGCTGCCCTGCTAGTCTGTGTGATCTTCCTTGCAGGCAGCACTCACTCTATAGTTCTCCAGCGCTGACAGGTGTGTAAAAATGTCCTGCAAGTCAGCGCTGCCCAGAACACACGTCCAAAAGACATTTGTTTCGGTGAAAGCACAGGACTTTGGTTTCAGCTCATTTCCCTCTCTTTCTGATCCACTTGCATATTTAATATGAACAGACAGTGGGATAGAGATGACTCTGGAGATTAAAATGCATGTGAAACTCCTAAAGACCGAGTGGGCCTAAACCCTGGGGCAGAGGCAAATCACCTGAGGCAGAGCACAGTTCTACTTTGTACTTTGAGACATTTTTCCTTTCAATGTCTGTTTTAATCATGAATAGGTATGAGAGCAAAATGAGGTATTTCCTTTAATTAGAAACTTTAGGTACATGAGTATGTGATCTTTTTGTTCTTTGCTTAATTAGCCTGCATGTACTGTATCTAGAAATGTGCATTGTGTTCTTACCTGAGTGTAAGTTGGGGCCACCCTTGAGGGATTAGCCTACTAAAAGTTACAGGGATAGCATGCACATGCATGTGTGCCTACACATGTGGATATGAATGTGCACATGTGACAGGTTTACACAGCTATTCAAAGTGGGAAGTGAGTGTGTGTTGTGACAAGAAAGTCACAACTTTCTAAAATGGCAAGTTAAAAAAGAAAATGTCAAATCCCAATGTGGAAAATCATGTAATAATGCTCTCTGAGGAACAGGGTGACATGCACAGACACACACACCTGTGCATGTGAACAGACCTACCTGGATTTTACCCTTGCCAACTTCATCTGCCCCTCAACAGACAGCAGGCCTTTTGGGGAATCCTGCCTGTGTGTGTGTGTGTGTGTGTGTGTGTGTGTGTATGTGTGTGTGTGTGTGTGTGTGTGTGTGTGTGTGTGTGTGTGTCTGTGCGCGCACATGCCAACATATTCATTTTACCCTTCAACTCACTTGTCAAACTAAACCAGGTACTTCTGTGAAGGTTAAGACAAGGAGATCGAGTTTCAGAGACAGACAGGAGAAACAAAAGAGAGGTAGTGTTTTGTCAGGTTTTTTCATGTTTTCCTAGGATTTTGATATACTGTAGCTAATCTGAGCTTTTCTAGCTTGTCAAAGCAATCTTTCCTTGCCCTCAAACAGCTGTCAGTTCTGTCCATCAGCATAAGATCTTCTACTCCACAACCAGTGGAAACA